TATAAAATGTTAAAATGGTTCATATTCGATGCAACACAAGTGAAAAAATTGTTATTAGATTTAACTTTTTGTTATATTTTATGCTGATTAGTGCCGCGGGTCTGTATATGTTAGAGCGATAAGATAGAAACGGGACCCGGGATATCCCTCGGATATTCGTCGACACGGGATAGTTTCTCTGGACCGTAATCGCAATCTTTACGATGTTTATGATAGTTATCGGAGTATTCAAGTGGCATGCGTGCATCGACTCGGCAAGCCTAAAATCTTTTTCAGTCTTTCTTGATTCTTCTAACGTGTAGTCAGTATTCAAAAACCGTCAACGTTTTCATAGAGACACAATTAGCAGTAGAAAATTTTGTCAGTTTTGTCGATACCTTTTTGAAAAAATTATACCCTGTTACGAACATGGATGACGCAGGATTAGTGCGAATTATTGACGAGTTATGTATAACTGAAGAACATGGTGACAGTGATGAGGATGAGCAATTATTTGCGCCAAGCCGTCGGTGTGATCGCAGAATATATAGCGACAGTGAGTCTAGCGAAAAAGAATCGCAAGATGAAGATAACAAGAGTGATAGTGACGAATCTCTAACGAATTTCAGGGAAGTAAATGTGGAAAACGATATCCAATATAACCCGCGCCCACTATTTTTGGAAATGACTGGCCCTAAACATATGCCACCGAACATATCGAAACCAATAGAGTATTTCAATTTATTTTTCACACTACAATTTCTGGACATGTTGAGAATTGAAACAAATCGGTATGCACAACAGTTTTTCGAGAATGCTGGAGCAGCAAATACATCCACAACACTGACCTGGAAGAAAACAACAATCAAAGAGTTGAGAGCATTTATAGCCGTTTTACTCGAAATGGGAATAACCCGTAGGCCAACAATTTTTAGCTACTGGTCACAAAATCATCGATACATCCCATGGTTTGGCCAAATGTTTAGCCGGAATAGATTCCAGTTGCTTTGTAAATTTTTTCATACCGTGGACAATAGCACATTACCAGCACGAGATAACAGTGAATACGACTCAACAGCAAAGTTTGAACCTGTCGTTGCTCATGCAAATAGAAAATTCAAATTTCATTATTCACCACACCAGCACTTGAGCGTGGACGAATCATTAGTAAGAACAAAAAGCAGATCAGCACTTACCCAGTATTTGCCAAATAAGAAGCACCACAAATGGGGCATAAAATTTTGGATGCTAGCCGATGGGATCTCCCATTATTGTCTGTTATTCTTTTGCTATCGGGGAGCCAAGGACCAACGGGACAAGAGAGAAATAAAAGAAAAAGGCCTCGCTCAAGTAGTAATAGATAATTTACTCAGTATGAGTAACTACTTTATTAAAGGATACCACATAACTGTCGACAATTTTTTTACCAGCATTGCCTTAGCAAGATCTCTGTTTGAGAAAAATACATTTTTATCTGGAACAATACGCAGTAATAGAAAACATATTCCATCGCAGCTCAAATCAAAATTGGAAGTGGGCGAATATAAGTACCAAAGAAATCGGGAAATACTTCTATTAGCGTACAGAGAAAAGAAGTCACAGAAAAAAAATGTACTACTGTTATCAACGCATGGAACAGCCGCAAATAAAACGATTGTAATTCGAAGACGGAATCAGGAACGGGAAGTTCAAAAACCAGCACTCATCCACGACTACAATAAATATATGGGAGGCATTGATGTCTCAGATATGATGATCTACTCATATTTGGATGAAAGGAGAACAGTGAAATACTGGAAGAAAGTGGTATTTTCCATTTTTGCTCGCATGGTCTTGAATGCATACATATTATACCAACACAACAGAGAAGGAAAGCTTATGACTCGACTCGAATTTATAACCAGTATCATTCAGTCGATCTCAACAGAATGGATGGCGGAAAAAAACATGAATCCAGAAAGTTCATTGGGTCACACATCGAGGGATTCAACAGTCCCAGGTATCCGCAAACTTCCTGGAAGAAGGGAAAAAGTTTGCGTAGTTTGCAGTAGGGTGGATGGTGGGCCAGTGCGAAGATTGCGCACAATTTGTAATAATTGCAATAAAGGGTTGCATGGTATATGCATTAGTAAGCATCAATGCTAATAAATTGCTTGTGTAAGTAAAAGTAAGGAAATATTACATATTTTTAGTGGCCAGAAAACTAACTATAAATATCTATAGTAACACTTATATTTTTTTTAGTGACGTATTACCAGCCGCACGATCCACTTGTGTAGTAGATCTGTCTGACGCTTGCCGTGCATCATAGCGTTATCCTTCCGTTTTGTTATCCGACTTCTGCTATTGTATTGCAAATGATTGCAAAATGCAATGTCTATGTTCTAGCCCTGGAAAAGGCTAGATTCCTTGTCATTTGTTGCTTTCGTAATACGCGCTCGGTAACAGTCAGCGAGTATTGAAATGTGGCGACTAATCATTTCGACACATTAGGTCATCGGTTCGAGATGCGCTCGAAATGTAGAGCATGTCGAAACGGCGACTAACATAATTAAGGCATTTCGAGATGCATACGAAGACCAGAACATGTCGAAATGATTAAAGAAAATTAGGATGCTGACTCTTTAGCTTTTCGGCTATAAAGCTTGGCCATCGGGGCCTGTACGTCAGTTCGGTTTTTCGTCTCTTAACTCGCGACTCTGTCCGAGTTCTCATCCGTTTCAAAGCATCGTTCAGCCGATTCCCTGAATCACAAGATTCTTAAACGGCTTACCCGAGGGACGAACGCATTGCCTAGAAATTGCTGGGAACTCGAGAAGTCCAGTATAGAAATAAATACGTAGTATCGCGATGTGACTAGTGTCAGCATAAAGGCCATTGACACCCGAACCGCTGATTAGGCTGAACTAAGAAGCAGCTGGTGTGTAACCGAGTATTAAATATTAAAGAATATATATTTTTTATTCGAAATCTCGTGTCAGTCCTTTATATCCACTACCTATTCCCTTAAGACAGATAGTTAGGTCAATGTGTGCTTAAGCACTTTAAATAAAGGCAAGAACCCGTATTCAGGACGTAACATCTATACATTATACTAAATGATGTATATAGAGCTATGACCAAATGATGACTTTTTTATGTGCAATTACCATTTGAAAAAGAGAAATCACTTTTGTACGATTTTTGTTATGTCTTATGTTTATGTTATTCTTATGATTTTCAACAAATAATGAAACACAATTCATAACGTTTTATTCTCCCTTTATTTCCGAATATGTTGCTTTTTATATTTTGTAAATATCACTTCTACTTTCGTTTTTACGAGCATTTTCGCAAACTTCTGCAAATTCGCCGATTCAGCCCGGTATTCTTCGCTTAGGTCCGTTCTTTTCGCCGGTACTAAAAGGGTTAATCTCTCGTGGCGATACCCCTGTCCTCTTCTCAAGATTGAGACTTCTCATTATTTTCTCGAGAGTGCCGAGAACTATAGCCTGTTTTATTAGTGTCAAGAACTACATCGTGTTCTATTAGTGCAAAAATGTCTTTCAGTTTCTATTTTACAAACGAATTTCTTCTTGATACAAGGATCTAAGGAAGACACATTGGAATATATTGTAAGTATCTTATCTTTTTTTCTCGTTATCGAAACGTGTTAAGTGTATTTTTTAATATCTGTGCATTTTTTTATAGCAAGGCTTCTTCAATCAGCCAAATGGTGAAAAGAGGAAATGGTACAATTGTATTACGCACCTCTTCCTCATGATCACATGTAGTACTTCCGACTTCCTACCGACGTCGCCACATTTTTAAACGCCTCCGATTTAAAAAAAAAACACAATCGGCTCTTCGCTGGTCGCGGACTCCCGCTATTTTGTCTTCATTCTTTCGCTTTGTGCCGAACTAGCCACTTCGCCCAGTATGGCAGACTAGTGTTACAGATAACAAATAGTAATAATTAAACAATGGGAAATAAGGGAAGAAGGTCTACGTCTTTCGATAGCTCGCATATAGCAATTATAAAATTCATAGTTTAAATTAAAATTAGAAAAGTAGTCCACCTATGAATCAAGAAACTGAACGAAATCAAAATGATTCCTGGATCGAGCCTTTTATTAGAACAGCACAAAGACATTTCGTTCAGGACCTTCAAAAATTCGCAAATGAAAAGTCCGGAAAAGAAAACGAAGTTAATTTGGAACAGGAACAATTTCTCTTACAGGCACAACAAGAATACGAGGAAATTGAAAGATTAGCATACACGAGTGAATTCAAACAAAATTAAATCAAAGCCAAAGCAAAATCATTAGAAGAACAAAATTGGATCAACATGGCAGAAATGAAAAGTCCAATATCTATTTTACAAGAAATTATGAAGAAGAAACAAGAAGTTCCAATTTATGACCTCATAGTTAATCAAGGGGGAACTCATATAAACACATTTGTATACAAAGTCTCCTGTGACAACTTAGTAGCAACGGGTAAAGGAAGATCGAAAAAAGAAGCAAAACATAACGCTGCAAACGCATTGCTGGAAATTATTATGAGCCGTGAATTGCAGCAAACAACAATTACTATGATGCCCCCCAATATTGAACCTTTGAATTTAACAACACCGCCAATTCATTCAAATAAACAGTTTGAAAATCCGGTTGGTGACCTACAGATATTGTGCAGCAACAATAACTTAAGTGCACCTGAATATCAAACAGTGAAGGATGAATCTGAAAATAATAAAATTTCTACTATTCAATGCAACGTGACCATCCCTACCGAAATCGGTAATGCAGAAACGCAAGAATTAAGCTAAGCAAGAAGCCGCAAGAAAAACGTTAAGTAAATTACAAAACCTAAGGCTTGATGTACCTCAAGAAAATACAAGATTATAATACAAAAAAGTTATTACTATCATACGGAAATATGGAATTCCGTTCAATCAAATAAATTCTGTGCTCCTAATTAATCCTAGTGTACAGGCCCTACTAGAAAGGAAGTAGGGATGGGAAACTCTGTAACACCAAACGCATATCCACCACTAGAGTATCCAGTCCCGAATAAGATTCATATTTCCCAAAATGGGATCCTACAATCTCCGGGTAAACAAACCCAAATTTACAAAGAAGAAATAAGTTATGGAACAATCCTAGATTGAAGTCACAAACTGATTCCATTCTATACCAGTGTGCGGCCTTCTCTAATCAGGCATTATAAAGGAAAGATTACCGGCACTGAGACAAATCCATATTTTCAATGAAGAAATGAAATAAAACAAATCCTAGAATGAAGTCGCAAAACGATTCTATTCTATACCAGTTGTACGGCCTTCCTTAATCAGGCATTATAGAAGGAAGTTTACCGGCACTGAGACAATTCAGGTAGTCAGTCCTCAGACAGTCAGTCAGAAATTTACATAATGATAACCTTCTAATATTATAAAGAAGAAAGCACAGAAACACAAAAGATATATTTGTAAAGCGACAAAAGAAGAAAATCAAGAGAAAGGTACCGAAATAATAATAATAAAAAAAAAGGAGAGAAGGAATATTTACGCCAAGAGTTAGAAAAAGAAAATCAAAGGAATTACCAGAAGAAGAGAAACAAGATGAAGAACTTCAAAAAAATCCAGCCTGAAGAAACTGAACCATCCATCTCGGCAGATCAAATTGTACAATCATCGGAAACCGGAAAAATCCAACCTGAACCTGCTGAACCACTTACTCCACAAGAAGCGGATATAATCGAACAAACAAGGGACAAAGAAGAAATAATTAATGAAGTACTACCAGACCCGCCAGAAGATGAAGAACCATTCATCGAATTTCCTCCCGAACCTCCCGACGAAGATTCAACTATGTACGAAGACTGAGACGGAGACTCATTGGACTCGGAAAGTATAAATTCTAACGAACCCGAAGACATCGATATCATATTTGATGAACCACCACAATATGAATTTCTTAAAATAATAAAAACTAAAGAACCATTATTAACTCAAAAGAATAATTTAGTAGTATTTTTAACATACCAAGGTACACCTGCGTGTGAAGGAGCCAAAGAATTACAGGAAGCAAATTTATTACCAGACATCAGTGAAATTATTCCTAATATACCAAAAGTAGAACCATATGAAAATCATTACTTAATTTTTGTTCCAATTCAGGAAAGGAAAACAGCTCCAATAACCGCGAATCAAATAATTACCGGACTAAGAATTATAAAAAATGTTTTAGACGAATTGAATCTTTCCAGTTTTGCTATTAGAGAATCTCCATCATTAGGAGATGTATCATGGTATTTAATAAATAAGAGAATAGTAGAATTATTTAGCGATTACAGAATTACAATAACATATTGTCAAGGAAAATTAAAGGTACCTCCAGAAAATGAAAGATTAAGAATAATTATAGAAACTCATAATTCAATAATTAATGGACATAAAGGTGTAACTAAAACACTCGAAAGAATCAAAACATAACATGTATGGCCAAATATGAAAACAGGTGCAAAATTACGTAAAAGCATGTGAAATCTGTCAGCTTAAAAAATTAACTAGGGTAAAAACTATGCAACCTATGATAATAACTTGTAACCGTAAACACGGCCCGCGTGTACCGGCCACATATCTGATGCGTAAGAACATTCGAGAAGTCATAATGTTACGTAACCAGGGGATCGACGATCGATCACGTAACCGACGGATCACTTCGTACTCTCCTTCCGTAGGATCAAGTCCGCGTTAGATTACCAAAGACATAATTGCGAGCCAGCATACTAAAGATATAGCACCGTATCTGACTTGAGAATAAATACGGAAACCGAACTCCGTCCAGGTCGGTTAGAATCATAAGCCCGTGAGTGAGTGTGTGAGTGTGGATGCGTGGCCACGACAAATAAGGAAATTCGTACCTGCGTGCGTTGGACAGGGTTACGCCACCGATCCGTAAGTCGTATACTGCATATATTGTAACGCGAGAACCGAGAATTTAGATTAGTTAAATAGGCCACCGATCTGGCAACAATCGTAAGTCCGATTTCCTGCAGCGACTCGCACCGCGGCCAGTCAAACAAACGCGTGGTTCAACAGTACATACGCGCAACCCTAGTCATCTTTATATGTTGAAAATATACATCAAATTCTATTGTTCCATTCATTTATTTTGAATTACTTCTGATTTCCCATCATTTGCGATTCCTCCTCCTCCCAAGGAGACGCGAACTCCTCCCTCCCGAATACGCGGCGAGGTATTCGGTTATAAACTGATACACCTGGTCATGCATTCGATGAAGTAGCTATAGACATAATGGGACCGTTACCCATTACAATTACAGGTAACATATACATTCTAACCATGCAAGATCTTTTGACCAAATATTCCATAGTTACCTTTAAATAATACAAGTTCAATTTCTATAGCTGATTCTATGTTAAAACGTTTGATTTGTGTCTTCGGCGCACCTAAAGCTATTCTTACTGATCAAGGAGCTAATTTATTCTCCTCAATTATAAATTACATAGCAAAGCGATTTGGCATAAAACAGTATAAAACAAGTGTTTACAGACCACAATCAAACGGATCATTGGAAAGATCACATCATGTTTTATCAGAATATTTAAAAATACAAACACAAAAAAGTAGAGATTGGGATACATGGTTAGATCTCGCTATGTTTTCATATAATACTAGCGTTCATGAAGGAACTAAATACACACCATATGAATTAGTATTTGGAAGAACCGCTAGAATACCAAGTTCCGAACCAGAAATAGATGATAGAATAGAAACGACATATTTTCAATACTTAAACAATTTATTTGAAGTACTAAAAGAAGTGCAAACCGCGGCACACCAAAATCTGGTAAAGGCAAAAGAAAGATCTAAAAGATACTATGACGCAAAAATTAATGTTCAAACTTTCAGCCCTGGGCAATGGGTTTAT